AAAATATCAAAAAAAAAAAATAATAATAATAATAAAAATATGAATATACGCAAATGTCGAGTGAAGGCAAAAGTTGGCGGGTAGGAAAGTGTGTATAATATAAATGTGTGCAGATGTGTATGTATGTTAATGCAATATATTATATATGTACATGAAAATTAACATAGATGCATTTAGATTATGGAAATTTTAACAGTGCTTGTCTGTAACTCGGTAGCTGCTGCGATCAAAGCTTTATTGACAATTAAAATACTCGCGCACTAATTGCTGCTGCTGCCGACAACGATTTGTTCGCAACAACACGAAAATATAAAAAACTAAAATAAAAAAGGCCGTTAGCGGCAAAAAAAAAAATGCTATAAAAAATTATAATAGAAAGGGCGGTAAAATGAAGTAAGAAAAAATTGAAAAAAGGTATTTTTAACAGAGAAGAAAGCGCATGACGTCAGAGATGGTCATAGAATATGCTGGCTATGCATTTCAGAATATATCTATACGAGCATATATATTTATAAATAAACATAAATAAATATATATCTATACATGGATATGTACATATAAACGTATATTAACAGCATTCCACCAGTTTAGTCACCAAATCATTCGGCCACTTGTTGTGGCGCCTGAAGTACCGTGTGAATTGGTCTCTGTTGCACCAAACTCTAGATCCGCTACTGCAGCGGCAGCTTATCGCAACGCAGGAAGTTGCTAATGATCGCAGTGTTATTACTATCAATTTATTTTTACTTTAAGCGAAACAATTTTTCCAATAATTTTTTCTAGTTGTAATGTTATTAGCGGGCATTTTGAGTTGCCACATTGAAAATAACATCAAATAAGAAATATAATAAAACGTAATGAAATAAAAACTAAATAAAAAATCTAAAATAAAATAATATACAAAGTAAATCAAAATAAAATTAAACAAAATGAAATAAAATAATATAATCTAAAATAAAATAAAATAAAAGAAAATTAATAAAATAAAAGAAAGTAAAATAAATTTAATAAAATAAATAAAAATAATTTAAAAATATAACAAATTAAATAAAAAATAAATATAATAAAATAAAATAAAACAAACTAATAGAAAAAAGAAATAAAATTAAATAAAATAAAATAGCAATCTTAAAACCAAAATAAAAGTTAATTAATTAAAATTAAAATAATGTAATAAAATAAAAAATATTAAATTAAGATAAAACAAATAAAATAAACTATGACAAGTAAAATAAAATTATAACAAATTAAATAAAATATCATAAATGAAATAAATTAAAATTAAAATGAAATAATATAAAATAAAATAAAATAATATAAAAAAAAATAAAATGAAATGAAATAATATAATATAAAATAAATAAAAAAAATATAAAATAATATATAGTAATGAAAAAGATTATATTAAAATAAAGTAAAATAAAACAAAAAACATAAAAAATCAAATATTTTAACCTTAAACTAATATAATAATAAAATAAATAAAGTAAGACAAAATAAAAAAGTAAGTAAGAAAACAAACAAAAGAAAAATGAAACTAAATAAAGTAAATGAAAATAAAATTAACTATATAAAAATAAAGTAAAGTAAAACTAAATAAAAGAAAATAATAAACATAAAAAAATATGATAAAATTGACTAAAAATAATATAAAATTAATTAAAATAAAATACAATAAAATAAATTAATATGAAATAAAGAAAATGAAAAAAACAAAAAAAAAAAAATCAAATAAAATAAAGTGAATGATATTAAACAATGTAAATTGAAATAAAATTCTTTATTTAATTTGTGGAAAATATAAAAAAATGGAGTAAAATGAAATGAATTAAAATATTTTTTTAATAATAATAGTATGCAATAGTTTACAGTATAAATTTTTTTAAAGCTTTAGCTTAACGCATCTGGCACAAAAGAAATATTACATATTTTCTAAAAGCAATTACCGTAAAATAAGCGCCTTTAAAAAATGGCAATATTTATGGAAAATGCTTGTGCTGAATTTATATTGCCATCATACACTTTAATAAAAAGAAAAAAATTGAATTGTCAAGCACATTCCAACGCAAACAGAGACAATGTACATATATTGATTTTATAGGCAGGTAATTCGTATTTTATCTTTGTAATAATATTAACTACAAATTTAGTTTAAAAAAAATGGACAGCCGCATTTCAGGCGAAAAATAGTTTAAAAGTATAAATTCAAATCTTTATTTAGCCTCTAGATTAAAAAAAAAAAAACGGGGAGTAGAGTGAAAAGTAACAACAAATCTTGCAATTGTTGATAATAATAAGAAAAAAATTTTATTATTTTATTTTTAATTTGTGTTCTTAATGATTTAATTGAGAGCCAAATCGCATTACTCTCTTTAATGTGGTCAACAATTAATACTTACACGCTTTTAATCAATCTTTTGTTGCATTTTTTAATAAATTTAAATTTTTAATTAAATAATTTGTTTAACTATATAAATGTATTATCAGAAGTATATTTTCACACAAGCATTCTTATGTCGTTTTATGAAAAAATGCGATATTTCAAATGGCCGACACACAAAACAAACATACAAATAATAAGTACACTTTTTATATATATCTGTGTTTATACTTATATTTAAATAAACACACACTTGCTAATGTAAGTGCTTATACACGTATGTATGCTTTTGTACTAACAATTGTGAGCCAACCAATTGCGCGGCGCAACAGAGACAGCAAGCATAACAAATATGGCGTACAAATTATTCAACAGTCTCAGTCAGACCCGCGAACGTTTTGCACTTAAATTAAGTGAGCTTCTGTGTTGCTATTGTTGTTCTTGGGGCCATGCATGTGTAGTTGCTATGATTAAATTAGAATTCAAAGCTTATTTTTTCAAACTTTTTTTAAGCGCTGCCATGCATGTGAACATATACATAAATATACGTAAGTAAATACGAAAAACAAGACAAAAGTCAAACGAATAAAGTTAACAACTTGCCGTTGGCTAAATTCTATTTGTATGCATGAGTGTGGTTATGTCGATTAAAGAAAGAAAAACAACAACAAGTAAATGAGAAAAAAATAAACAAATTACAAAAACAAATAAAAAACAGCTGCAATTAACATTTTTCGTCGTTGTAGCTAAATAATTCAATTTTGCCATATTTTCTTCATTTTTTTATTTTCAACGATTTTCTGTTCTTTGCTTAATTTCTCAATTTTAGTTGTTGTACGCGCCATTGCGTTTTAAAGTGTTAATTTGTTAAAAGTGCATAGTAAATTTGCATAGACTATTGACAAATTTTAACATATGCGAATATAAACTATAAATATAAATATAAAGTATAAAATATATATATAATATAATAAAAAATTCGAAAAAAAACTAAATAAAATATCATAAGCTAAAATTAAATAATAAAAAAACGAAGCAAAACAAAATAAAATAATATAATATAAAATAAAATATAATATAATAAATAAAACAATACAAAATATAATAATATAAAATAAAATAAAATCAAAGATTTAGAAAAAAATTATTAAAAAAAATAAAATAAAATAAAATAAAACAAANAAAATAAAATAAAATAAGCTAAGTTAAAATAATTTTAAATAATTAAAAAAAACATAAAATAAAAAAAATAAAAATAAATAAATAAAAGAAAAATAAATAAATAATAAAAAAAAGAAATTAAAATAGACTTAAATAAAATAAATTAAATTTATTTTAAAATAAAATAAAGAAATCTAAATATGGTAAAATTCAAATTAAATAAGTGAATAGATTTTTAAATAAGATAAAGTGAAATGAAATATTAAAACTGTTTGAAATATGTAAATAAAATAAAGAAAAGTTAAGTAATAAAAAACGTGAACGGTCTTCACGTACCCTTATTATGAGGATATAGGTAATTGTCAGTAGGGCTGCGCATGCGCACAATTACCATGAGCCCAAGCAGTAGAAAGATAACTATTGAAAGAGCCAGTAAAAGGTAAAAAATGTAAAAGAAAACAATAATTATAGTTAAGACTGCAACAAGCCATCGTTTTTGTAATAAAAAAAAAAACCAACAACAAACTATTAATAACACCATAGTCTGTTTTAGGTGTCCACGATTTTCTACAACAATTTTAACGTTCAATTTCATAGACGGAAATTGAGATATTTTTTCCTTTCAAGTTATGAGCATACGCACACTGTTGTTGCCGTTGTACGTATAAACAATGTCTTTGTACATTGCACCATTTTCTATTTTATCTTTTTTTTCTTTTTTTTTTTTTTGATTTTGTTTTAACAATTTCCTATACTTTTTGGTTGTTATTCAGTTCTATGTTGTCAAGTGCTTGCCTGCATGCTTTCGCGAAATTCGCAATTAAGCTTGATTAGCTTTAATCGGTTTTTGATATTTATGGGTTTTCATTATCATTAAATTCATTGGCTGCAAACTGTCCAGGGCGACCACCAGCTACCATGTACAGTAGCCGATATATAAATGTGGTTGCTACCGCCTAGCGCAGCCAACAACTTTGTCAACGTCCGGACGACGGCGAATAATTGCAATGCACAGGGTGTACCGGCAGCAGTCGCTGGAGTAGCAATAGTAATTATTCATTACTGTTCCTGTACGCAAAAGTAGATGCTGCAACAGAGCCACCAACTTTAATTCCTGCTTGGTGGTGCTACTGCTGAAGCTGTTGCTGTTGCTGTTGCTCTGGTGCTGAAACGCCCCGGGATAATTTGTTTGCCGGTTAATTGGTATTGCGGCCATTGATCAGTCGCCTTGGAGCAGAAGCAGCAGAAGCAGCAGCAGCAACAGATACAGCAGCAGCTGCTATCATGAAGGGACAATTTCCGGTGCCGCTCCCAATTGCAAAGGTAAAAGAAGCCATTTAACTATTGCATATTTTATTTTTTTTTTTGCTTTACTTAAACGCTTATACATTTTGTTTTTATGAGCATTAAGTGATATGCGTGTGTGTGTGTATATGTATTTGTTTATATGCTAACTTACCTTGGCTGAGCTCTCTAGTGGATTCCAATAGACGGCGATGGCATTGTGGGAGACCTCCTCGATGCAACCAACTAGGCCGACGGAATTTTTCGTATCTGTAAGTAGGGTGAGGAAAAAATTTTAATATTTTTTTTTGCGATATTGAAGGATAAGAAATTGAATTTGCTCGAGACATTACTTAATTTAGTAGTTTTTAGAATTTAATATTGATAAGAATTCTTTTTACCAGTACCAACTCAATGGTCATCGTACCGGAAGAGCTCCAATTTTTTATTTAAAAAAATTAATATTAATATAAATTAATAATTAAAAAAATACAGTATTATTCAAAAAATATTTTTATCTAAATAAAACTTATAAAAAGGCAATTATTCTAATATATAATGTATTCTTTTTAATTTTTCTTTTTCGACCAGAAATAAATTCTGCAATTCTTTCCTAGAATTAAACCTGCATAGAGACAATAATACGGCAATAATTTTGCAATCATACAATATTTTTTTAATTGAAAAACTTTTTCGTTTTAATAGAAATTATTATTTTGCTTTTTAAAGTTTTGTATAAATAAAAACTGTTGTTTAAGTAATAATTTAAGAAAACTTATGGAAAACAATTGTTTTAAAAATAATTTAAGCATATCAGGATAATATATTTTTAACAAACCGTATTTAAATTAAAAAAAAATATTAATTATGAGAAAATTACTTTCAAAGTCATTTCGCTCAAGTAAACTTATTATTATTATTTTTTTTAAATAAAAAATTGAGATTTATTTGTTTACAAACTGAATAATTAATTTTAAACAGCTTTTTCAAATTAATTTTAATTTTTCTCAATTCTCAAAATGAAAAATTGTAATTACTGTTTTTTTTTAAATGAAAAATGAAATTAAGTATTTTTTTATTTTTGTATTTTAATTTAAAAAATATGCTTATTGATATAGAAATATTATAGTTATAAAACAAAGTACTATATTTCATGGTAGTAATTATTTTTGATATTAAAAAAAATATTTCAAAGCATAAAAATAATTATAAAATTACTTTTTATGTTATTAATATTTTATAATTAGCTTTTCATTATTTCTAAGATAAGTGTGACCAAAATAAAAATACGTATTTTGGCACAAAAACTATCAAAACTTTTGTGTTATTATTATTATGTTGTTTTTTTGCAATTTTTTTTTTTAAATCAGTTTTTTCATCACTTAATATTTTTTTCTATTTTTTACGTATACATTTTTTGAAGGGGGTTTGCGGCTGTTAGCTCGGTTGAAAATATTTTAAGCGAATATGAAAAAATATCAATAACTGTATTAAATAATTTATTTTTAATTTTAATTAGTTTTTATGATAAATGCTTTTAACCTCAGCCTTCTAGTATTTAAATATTAATTTTAATGGAAAAAATGTCCATTTAAATTTTTTCCCCAATAAATACCTTATAAAAATGTATAAAAACCAAAAAAGTTAAAAATAATTTAAAATATGTGTAGAGAAAAATTAATTATATTTTATTAATATAAAAAAAAATTTTTCCCCATTTATGCCTGCCTCAGCTAGCTTAAGAATAGTCATTTTCCGCTCATAAGTAAAATGAAAAAAAAAAGAGTACAGTTATGAAATTTCACATTTACCGTTAGTTATGAGACACAGAGCTCATTAAAAGCCACATGTTTATAAGCAGCATGTAGCATAAATTATAATAATGCACATACGTACACATGCAAATGCCTATATAACGTCTTCAGATATCCATAATCTACAGGCGCTAGCCAGCGAGCGTCAAGTGAGGGTGTTGCGGAACAAATAAGCAGGCGGCGAAGAACGACGAGGAACATAAGCATTTGAAGTATTGAAATTTTTTCATATATGAAAATTACAACATTTGTCAATTGTGCCACCCCATTTGTAAGTGTATTTGTGCGTATATACATGCGGGTGCGACCAATGGCTTAAGTGCGCACACGCGTAGCACCCAATTAGCAGCGTAGATGAACTCACCGCAACAACGCAGCAACGCAGCTGGTGGGCATGAAGAATGGCTTGAAAATTGCAACACACATACACACACTTATTTTAGTGTGGCATTAAACAGTGCCTGTGTCGCTACACCCCCAGACAGTCAGCCAGATACCCAGCCTGCTGACCCAACTGCCTGCTGGCGCGCACATTTGTTCATTGGTCATTCATTTCAATGCTCAGATAGCCGGAGAGTGCGCCAAGTGGCGAGCTTATCAGCTGCAGCAAATCGTTATTGCATAAAATACATGTGTGTATGCATGTAGTATGCAACATTTCACAATCAATAGTTAGAATTCAATGAAGTTTTGTAATTTACAGCAAATTAAGAAATAGAAGAGAGCTGAGGAAAAGAGACAGGCAGAGAGAAAGAGGTGGAGGGAAAGAACACTGCGCAAAAGAGCTATGTGTGTTGTGTATTTTCCTCTTCTTCTTCTTCTTCTTCTTCCACATTTTATTCATCTTGCGGTGTTGTTGATAAGCATCAATGTTGCAAGTTGCAAGTTGCATGTTGTTAATTTTTACTTTTAATGCGTATGTAATGGCATTTGTCTAGACAATAACAGCAGCAGCAGCAACAACAACAATAACAACATCAGTGAAATAATCAACAACAACAATAACATTATAGAAATAACTGTTGTACGATAATGATAAATATGCGTAGTTGAGTGTAAAATTACGTATATTTATTGCAAATGCAACAGGTCAAGCCGCCAAGAAGGTAGGCGCACTTATTGCTGGATGTGGCAAGACTATAATTACAACATTGTGAGGCAAAACAAAATGAAAAAAAAAAACGTAAATGTAATATTCTTCTGAGGAGAATTAATTTCAATTATTTGAAATATTTTTTTTTTTCAAAAAATCTTAATTCAAAGAAATTTACAAGTTTTCAAAAAAAAAAAAATTCTAAAACTCTTCATAACTAGTTTGGTAAATTAAATTTTTTGATAAGAAAATACTTCGGTGGTTATTACGTAAGAGATCGTATAAAAATCATTCCATTTTATGTATGTGAAATACTTAAAAGTTTGAATGTTTGTAATAAGCTTTAAAAACTTCAAAGTTTCTTTCTTATTAATCTAATTTCATATATTATTTACACCTTAGAAAATTTTGTATCTCTCAATCAACCTACCTGCATCTAAAATGCGTTGTTTAACGCTGTGTTGTCGACTATGCCAAAACTGCCAGGCTTTGATTTCATCATCGGGACTTTTCTCTTCACGAAATATCAGCATAATAACGCTCTATAAACAGAAAAAAATTTAAAATTAGACATTTTAGAAATCCTGCGTATTGAGAACAAAACAAATTAAATTAATTTATATTAAAAATATTAAACTAAATAAATTAAATACAATAAAATAAAATAAAAAAATTAAATTAAACAAAAAATCAAATAAAATATTATATAAAATAAAAATAAGTAAACTATACTAAAATAAAACAATATAAAAAAATTAAATAACATAAAATAATAAAATAAAATAAATTAAAAAATAAAATAAAATATTATATAAAAACAATAAACTAAATTATTATATTAAAATTAAAAAAAAAAATAAATAAATAAATCAAAGAAAAAATAATATTAAATGAACTACAATAAAAACAAGAAAGCAAAAAAAAGTAAAATAAAATAAAAAAATCAAATAGAAAAATCAAATAGAAAAATATTAATTAAATACATGAAATAAAATATTACTTTTTAAAATTAAATTGAAATAAAAAAATAAAATAAAATAAAAAGAAATCAAATATAATAAAATTATATAAATAAAATATAATAAAATAAATAAAATAAATTCAAATAAGGTAAAATGTAATAAATTACCGAGAAAAATATATAATAAAATTAAATAAAAAATAGCAGAAAATCAATTTAAAATAAATAAAAATAACACTAGCTATAAAAAATTAAGTAAAGTAAAGTGAGACAACATAAAACAAAATAAAGCACCATCAAATATAAAATAATGAAATAAATAAACATAAATTGAAGTAGTATAAATTAAGATAAATACCAACTAAAAATAATATAAATAAATTAAATAAAAAAATGTAAATAATAAAGCTTAAGGTTAGTAAGTTTCTCGTCTTCCATTTATTTATTTTTTACATCACACCCCCTATGATATACATTTGTCTGTAGTATGCAATACACCATATGTGCCATATTCTCAGCTGCCCTTAGCACTGCGTAATCCCCATATCCCTTACTAATCCGCACGAACCAATTATCATTTGAATATTTTATTGGAAACAACAAAAAATACCGCACATGGTTACATGTAAGTATGTATGTATGCATAAAAGGTACTTTGTAAATTAGATTTTCTGTAATAGTTTGAGTGGCCAACAGTTGTTTGTATGCACATATATATGTACGTGCTCTTACTCAATTCAAAATTTTTGTTTGGCATACGCATTCTGTCGTAACAACAATTCCACGTGGGTTGCTCCATTCAAAGATGCATTATTATTGAAATTTTTATTTTATTTCACATGCATACAAACGAGCACATAAATATGCATATATATACATATAAATTTATATAAAAGTATATGAAGTGTGTTGGCATGTTGTATTTATGGACTTTTGTTACGAAACTCCATGCTTCAGCGCCCTTTATTAAAAGTCACAAAATAATCATCATCATAATTCACACATAACCCAGCAGATATACATACACATATATGTACATCCATAAATAGAAAAATGCGCGGCACAACCCTTGGCTATAGAGTGCAGTGCCAGAGCACCTTTAATTTGGTTAACGCATTTTCTTAATATTTTTTTTTTTCTGAAAAAATTTGCATTTTTATTTTCAGTCACTTCAGCAGGACAGCCAAGAAAGTGTAAGGCGCATGAAATGGCATGATGTTGCATATATGTATGTATATATATTTTTTTTTGCTTTCTTTTTAATTCAAGCACAATTGCTGCTCACATCCTTCTGTCGGCATATAGGATCTTTCAAGCAAACTCCTTTTTCATATGAAATTTGTGCCTCCACTAGGTATCTACTAGTATTTAACCCGATTCGCTACTGTCTGCTATTATAAATTATGATTTTTATTTAATTTCGTATTTTTTATATTTTACTCTTCTCCTCTCCAGAAATCTTAAAGTCGCTTGCATAATTATTTTTCTTTTATTTTTTTTTTATTTTAAATTTTTTTTCTTGTCTGTGCGCATCTCTGAAAATTTGCATTAATTTCTGGTGACGTTCAGTTAGTTGCCAACAGTGCTGCATATACGGTGGTGATGATGGTGGTGGTAGTGTAGGGCACATTAGGAAAACAAACATAAATTAATTTTGACACTTTCGTCTTGCAGCTCTGCTCTGCTCTGTATAGCCGCTGTTCAGTTTGCCGTTGGCGTTGTGTTGCAATCAAATTTATTGGATTTTTATGTAAATACTAGTTAATATGCATATGCATCGAATGCAGCGTGCAACATTATAAATGCATTAGGTTGACATTGGATGAAGATCACGGTGATGTTGCTGAAGACGACAAAGAAAACGCCGTTAAGTTGTTTGTGTAGGCTGGCTGGTTGGGTTGGTTGGTGCAGCCATCTTGAAATGAAAGCGGCTGCAAGTTTGACGGTAAATGATTGCTGCGCGGTGCAGAGATGGAAATGACATTTATAATTAAAATCTTATTCGATTTTATATTGATTTCATAAATATTTTATAAGCATGCGTTAAATGAACTAGCTGTTCGATTTTAAATGTTTTTTTTTTATTTTATATTATTTTACTTCATTTTTAATTTATTTTACGTATAATTTACTTTTGTTTTATTTGCTTATATTTTAATTTATTTTTTTATTTTATTTTTATTGAATTCTTAATTATTATTTGTATATTTTATTAAATTTCGTATGTTTATATTTTTCATTCTGTCACATTTCATATATTTCATTTTATCTTAATTTGTATGTATTAAATTTTTAATTTTAGTTCCACTTATATGCTTTTATTTTTTATTTTGTTTTCTTCAACTACATTTTATTATGAATTATCTTTATTTATAGAGTTTTTATTTTAATTTAATTCATTTTATTTATTTTAATTTATTTTATTTTCCTTTGCTGGGGTTTAACTTTGCTTAGTTTAAGTCCGTTTTAATTTATTTAATTTTTTACATTCTTTATTTTGTTTGAATTTATTATTTCTAACATTGTTTTATTTTATATTATACTATTTAATTATATTTTGTATTAACTTTACTTTATTTTAATGTATATTCCAATAATTTATTTTTCTTGCTTAATTCAATATTAACTAAAATTTTTTTTTGTTTTGTTTTATATTAATAAAATTTTTTAGTTTTAATTTTTATTTTTTTTTATCTTTTATTTTTTAATTTTATTTTATTTCTTATATTTTAGTTTTATTTGTTTTCTTTTAATATTATCTTACTGTGCTTTATAAAAATTAATTTATTTTATTTAGAAAGGGTTAAATTTTTTCAGATATGTTTTATTTAGTATTTAATTATTTATAATTTTTTATTTAATTTTGTTTTATTTAATTCTATTTAATAAATTGCAGCTTATTTAGTTACATTTGATTTTAATTTTATTGTTTTTAAGTTTTATTTTTATTAAAATTTAATTTTTTCTATGTTAATTTAATTTTTTCACTTTTATTCAATTTAATTTAATATTTATATTTTGCTTAATTTTTTTTAATTTTATTTTATTATATTTTTTTTATATTTAGTTTTATTGTTTTTAATGAAATTAATTTATTTTATTTTTATTTAGAAAGCGTTAAATTTTTTAAAATTTATTTCATTCAGTTTTTTATTATATTTCATTTTGTTTAAATGTAATTGTATTAAATTAAATTAAATTATTTTTATATTATTGGTTCATTTGTTTTCTCTTAATATTTAGTCTTATTGTATTTTAAAAAAATTAATTAATTTTTTTTAGATAGATAATTTAAAATTAATTTTATTAAGTTTTACTTTATTTAAATCTAATTTATTTATTTCATTTTGTACTTAATAATTTTTTTTACTTAATTTTATTTTAATAAATTGTTGTTTATTTAATCCCATGCGATTTTAATTTTATTTTATTTTATTTTAATTTTTACTAAAATTTAACTTTTTCTTTATTTATTTCAATTTATTTTATTTTTTCACTTTTATTCAATTTGATTTAATATTTATAATTGGATTTATTTTTTTTTTTAATTTAAATATTTTATTATATTTTTTATTTTTTTTCTTTCAATTATTGTACTAAAATAGATTATATTCATTTTTTTATTCCGTTTCAGTATTATTTGAACTTTTAATTTTGGTGTCATTTCAGTTTACTTTCTTTTCTTTTTTTATTTAGTTTAATATTATATTTTATTTTATTTTTTCTTCCTATTTCAATTTTTCCTCCAGCTTGTAAATGAGATTAGAAATTTAATTTTTTTCTGTAAGCATCCTTATTAATCGCCCACCGTGCGCTCTGCTCAAATGTGGCGCCGAAAGTGAAAATCGCCAACGCCTGCGTGCAAGCTGGACGCGTTAATAATTTCACGCCAACGTTGTGCATACAAAAATATGAATAACAGCAATTAAAAAAATAAGAAGAAACAAAAACTAAAATGCTGCTATTTAACAACAGCGTTTACACGATATTACATTGATCGTACGAAACAGACCAATTAACCCCTAAAGTGTCGCATTGCCTGTCAGGCAAGTGGAAATTTTGCGTGGTGCGTGAAAGTTGCAAAAATTCGTACACACACATATAGTAATTTATTTAATATAAAAATGAAGTGCGTGTATTTAATATTCGTCAATATGTTTGCATGTACGTATATGTCGCTCATGAAGTCTGCCAATTTCACTCTGCATGACAAATAATTTTTTCAAATCTTTTTCTTAATATTTTAACAACTTCAACGCTCGTTCGGCATAAGCAAATTGCGTTTCACAGCTGAAACTGTGTGTGTGAAAAGTGAGACTGTTTTTATTTTTCTATTACTTTATAGTTTTCTCGTATTCCTTTTTATTTTTATTTTCTATTTTTTTGGGTACGCGGAAATCCTACTCCGCACAGACTCCAATTACTCGGAAGCGCATTTTGAGCGCTGCGAAATAAAAAAAAAACATTGAAATAATAAAAGAGCGTTAAGAAAATATAAATATACATATATATATGCACGTATGTATGTATGTATGCATGTATAAATAGCGCCAAAAGCAAATTGTACGGAAGTGCTACAATTGCTGACAGTTATCCTTGAGCAACAATCCTTTTCAACGCCGCAACACGCATTTGCATAAGATTCAGCAGCGCTCAAGTATCGCATATCAAGGTAGCGGTGCCGTTAAATGTATGTAGCTGTGCATATAGCAATATATTTGTATATTTGTGACGGCTCATTCGTCATGTCATCTTATCTGATCGATGAATGCTGAACAGTGAACTTGAGAGAAATGGCAAAAATAAAAAAAAAAATTGTGGAATATTCCTCAAGGCAGTTCGTTGTATCCCGAAGCTGGCTGTGTGTCCTGTGTAAACATTTGCACTGCATTAAAATTCAAATTTCAAATACAACAACAGCTCGCATTGCTACCGATTGATATTCAAATTGTAATGTAAAGACAAACAAGACAACAAAATAAAGCTTGAAAAAAAAAAATTGTAAGAAATAAAACATGTACAAATCATCAGCTATCATTCATCATCATCATCATCATCATCATCAAAATCTTCGTCTATCTTCCACCTAAGCACACTCGCACGGCGGTTAACAACCCGCTCTCTCGTCAACTACGCTTACACTACAGCGCATATCCTGTGCAGAAGGGTTGCATTGCCTGTCGGTTGGCAAATATTTGTTTAAATGAAATCTTTTCTGCATTCCTTTAAGCAACGCTCCCTCTCTTATTCTTTTGCAATCACTCAACTACTATTTGGTGCTGGAATACGCTGAAGTCTTCATGCGATGCTGAATCATTTCCATACGCAGATCCTTTGCATAGATATAGTTTACTTAAGTTAAACTGATTGCTTCTGTCTACAACAATTAATCATCATTAAAATTGTAACCCTTACACTCTTAGTGTACTACGTAGATACTCGCGTTACACCTTTTGTTTTTCACTTTTTTTTCAACGAGTAGCAAAAAAATGACTTAAAATTTACTTAAAAGAACGCTTAAGTTTAACTTTCTCATGCTTTGCCTCCTCATTTTAGTTTTTTCTTTCATATTTTCTTACCTTAACGGTTGTATTTTTGATAGGCTTATCCGGATCGGGCACATATTCCAGTGTAATGCCATAGAATTGTCCTTTATTTATGTATGTGATGCGATCGTCTTCACGGCGTTGTGATGAACTGATTGGACTCTCTAGGTGATAGCGGAAGCCGACATTGCAGAAGCTGGGAAAAATTATAAGGAAAAGTGAAGGAATTTAAAATTAAAACAGAGCTTTAAGAGATCTTGGAGAGCTTTAGTCATGTAAAGGCTCTGCACTTTTCATGTGCTTGAAAGTGTTAATATAAGGAAAAATATTACGTAACAAAAAGTGTTAAAATAAAATAATATTATAACAAAATTCAACAAACAATTTCGAGGTAAAAAAAGTATTAAGCTTATGTCAAAACATAAATAATTTTTGTTAACTAAAGCTTTGAATTTTTTTTGGGAGCTTTCACATGTTAATGTGTTAAAAAAGTTAATATGTACTGAGAGTACCCATGAACTTTTTATCAAATCATTAAAGCTTTAATAAAACTAGAGCTTTGAGCTGTTCCTATTATTCAATGTTAAAAAGTTACAATGATTGTTAAAATATAGAAATGAAAAATTTAAATGTAACCTCAAATTGAGCTAAGAAAAAGACATAGAGAACTTTCGTAACATAGAATCTTTAGCTTCTTTGGGAACTTTCATGTGTGAATGTGTTAAAACAGTTAATGAGCTTTTCGCAGATTATGAACACTTTCAGTAAAATAAAAGCTTACGAGCTTTTTTAAAAGCTTACGAAAAGCACGTAAGCTTTAATATGATAACGTAACAAAATTAATGAAAACAAATTAATCACTCTAGATCAAAAATTTATTTGATTAAACGCTTCACAAATTTAATAATTTATCGCAAGACTTTCATTACTGTAGTTTTGAGTACATCTATTTTGTTTTTTAATTTATTTATTTCTTAATTTTATATTTTATACTTTGTATTTGTATAGATTTTTAAATAAAAATGTATTGGCTACAAATAGTTTTAACGAAAAAAAAGCTCCAACAATGCTGAAAGCTTCAGCATTTTCTTGTAGTTAAAGTTTCGGATTCTCGTTTGCTGCTTTTTTTCATAAAAATTAATTTTTTAATATTACTTTTTATGAGATTATTTAGAATAAAATTTATTTAAAAATTTGGTTAAAAAATCCGAAGTTCAACTAAAGCACACTAAAAAGCTTACTAAGAAAGCTTACATAAATTTTCCGTTATTGAATTATAAACGTGAGCTTTGCATAAAGCTTTCTCTGAACTTTTATACGTTTTGAAAGAGTAAAAGCAGTTCGAATTTTTACTTACATTTTTGGTATTTGTATTTTATCCGCATCATTTTGTCGCCCAAAATCATGCCACGGCCTCGAACGTGTTGCGCCATTCGGCGTCGAACCACCCAACGAAGTAGTCGGACTATTTTGACCGTGAACGCTAACAGCGCCACGTTGTATGCTATTCACCGAGACGGGTATGCCGCCATTGCTGTCCAATAGTGTGCCCGAAAGCTCTGTATAGTCGAAAGACTGTGTGACAGACGGTTTATAAGGAGCAATTGTTATATGAAAAGAAAAAAAATTGAAAAAAAAATCATTAAAATATTAAAAATAATAAAGCAAGGAATTTGGTGGAATCGTGTCACTTTCAAGTATAAATAAAGCAATTTTAAGTCACGCAGCGGAATGAAATCAACAGAAAAAATATATAAAAAAACAAAAGAGCGATTTGAAAATTAACAGCAACAAAAAATAATGATGACCCCAACAAAGTTTTTACGTACGATTATGAACTCGAGGATAACTAGAACGTTTACAAATCGCTCGTAAATCACAATAAACAACACACTAACATGCATACACACACCACCAACAACAAAAGCAACATCAACAGCAACAAAACTACATGCAGTAAATCTTACTGAGCAAAAATCACAACAATTCTTACAAACAACGCAAACAACAATTAGAACAACCAAACGACAACAATCAACAATAATTACAAAACCCATAAATCTTCAGCGAAATGCGACAAATAAATGCTACAAAAACAACAGAGAAATATATACGAGCTACAACAATATAACAACAACGACAACAATAATAACAACAACAATAGATCTACAAAAACTACGCAACCAAAAAATTACATAAAAACATAGCAAAATTACACATGCACACAACAAAAAACACACACACGAATCCAAAGCTCTCAAATCCTTAAACGAATTACGACGGCGGATTGTGGTCTTTAAGTAGGGGGAGCATAAACTTCCTGAGCATGAGAGAGACAGTAAGAGAGATAAAGCTTTTGGGTTGGAGTGAGTGCGTGAATGTTGAAAGTTGTGCATATTGAGAGCGCTCAATGCTTGCGCGCTTTCCAATGAAAGCTCACAACCACCATTCGTAGTGGGCTTTCATCAAAACTTTCAAATTTCATTGTTTTCAAAAGCAAAATATAAATTTGCAAATACTGTAACTGTAAGTAAATTCTGTGTAAGCATATATATAAATATTTTTCAAACATTCTCACACACATACCTGATGTATATTATTTTGATCCCTTGGTGTAATCGCATCAGCGCCAATACCCGAATCTGGACTAGGCAAATCCACTGTCAACCCAGCAGCCGTTATGGTCTTTGCATACACCGGTGTGCCGCCATTTTTTATTGTGCCCGTCGTAGCTGTACTATGTGTGGGCATGCTGTTCACAGGAGCGGCAGCTGTGGTGAAACGACCCTCATATGTTGTGCCCGGATGTGGCGGTTCGCTCTCAGCGCCACCATACACAATATTACGTGGCGCCTGTCCATAACCGGTTTGTGTGTCCGCTGTAGTGGCTGTGGTATAAAATTCCCGGTAATAGGGTTCGGTTATGAATGTCGATGTGGGACCGCCTGAAGTGAGGCGTGTAGTCGTGTACATGCCATATCCATCGGGTGTGATATACGGACCTGGGCTGGGTGTCTGGGCATTTTGAACGTTTACATTATTCGGACCGCCGACAGCGCTGCCAGGTGCATTGGACTGATGAGCGCCCTGTGTGTGTGTGGAAGGTGCGGGAGTGTGTTGGAAACGCCGAAAAAGAGAAGAGCCAAACATACAGAATATATATTAAATTTATAAATTTATGCAAGAAAATTAATAATTATTTGTGGAAATCGTATGAGTCAATTCTGGTGTGTCGTCAAGTGCGTCTTAAGGAATTATATGTATGTTTCTTTCTATATTTGGCTGTATTTATTACGCCAAACTAATGGGCTCACTAAGCCGCTTAACAATTGTCACATATTTTTTTCGTTTTTCTTAATTCAATTTGAGTCGTTTTTTTTTATCAGACGTAGGTGTGGCGTTGGCGGTGGCTGCGAATGCGTAGTCGTGCCCTCAAGCACGAAAATCACCGAATCCCGGTTCCGCGTTGACAAAAATACAAGAATCGATCGTTCGATCGAATGAGCGGCGGTTAGCCGGTAGAAGTTAGCAGTAATATGACCAGCTTCTGTTCTTTTCACTTTTGCTTTTTTCATGATTTTTTTTATTTTTTTATTTTTTTTTTATTTATTTATTTTTTTTTCTCAGCTGAAAACATTTAGCTTTGCTTAATATTCCATTTTGTTGCTACTTTTTAGCTTTTTTTAATCAAGGAGGTTTGCAACTATAACTTTTTTTAATACAGAAAAATAAAAACTTTTTAAGTTTTTATCTCTCCTTTTTGATTTTTAGTATTTTTTATAGCTTTCCATTGTTTTTTTCATAACTTCTTTTGTCTTTCTTGTATCTTGTGTATTCTTTGGCACTGTCGCTGCAGCTGGTTATTGATTATTTTTGATTTCCAAAAAGTTGCTCTGACCACATTTGTTGAAAAGTGAAATTATCTGCTAATAATTGGGTGATTTGTCAAATGACGGAAGGTCAGTGCTGGTGTATGGCTGCCGGCCAAAGCTATATGGCGCGTGCGCAGTTTTTAGTTTGATTTTTTTTTTTCAAAATTATGCAATTTTTATACTTCTTTTGATGACAGAATTTTTAGTTCTTGGTTTTCGATTTTCCGTTTTAAAATTTAAATGCATTCTTTTCTTTAAAGTTTAGTTTAAATTTATTTTCAATTTTTTAGAGTTCTTTATAAAAATATAATTTTATTAAATTATCATTTTTTTACGCTGCTTTATTTTTTACTTTGTTTAATTTAATTTATTTTAATTCATTTTGTTTTACTTTATTTTATTTTATTTTATTTGATTTTATTTTATTTTATTTTATTTTATTTTATTTTATTTTATTTTATTTTATTTTATTTTATTTTATTTTATTTTATTTTATTTTATTTCGTTTTATTTTGTTTTATTTTGTTTTGTTTTATGTTATTTTATTTAATTTAATTTTATTTTATTTTACTTCATTTTAGCTTGTTCTATTTAATTAAATTTATTTTTGATTTATTTTATTTCATTTCATTTTACCCTATTTTTCATATATATATATTTATATATTATTATTTATTATTGTTATTTCATTTCTATCTATCGTCCTTTCGTCTTGTTATTTTCTCAACGATATGCAAAAAAACTTTTCCAATAAAAAATACTCATCTCCACTCACCTGCAAGTAAATTTGTGTGCCGCCACTGGCAGCGTACATTGTCTCAGTTGTTGGACTTCCAGGACTATTAGGCGATTCTTTAATATGTATTGTTGTTGTTTGTGCTGTTGGCGATGGTGATTGGACAACTAAAACCTGTGAATTTGAATTTGCTTGTTTGAGTGCATTCACTGAAGAAGAAGGAAGCAGAAATGTTTTCTTTGCATAGTTACAGGAATTCGGGATATATTAGAGCGGACAAGGTTTGAAATAAGAGGGAGATGGGAAATTAAGGGGGGGAAAATGGGAAATTCAACGATATAAAGAGATGAAGTTATCACGAAAGTCAGCAGAGAAATAACGAAGGAGAGGATCCAGAAAGTAAATCAACGTCGATACACACACACGTACAAGTAAACATTGAGAAAATTTTGCTGAGATTTTCGCGGACACGATTTGTGCAGAAAAAAAGTTTTTTTAATACTAAAAATGTTTAAAATTTGCCAGCAAACTTAAAAGTTTAAAAGAAAACGATACATTTTTTTGGGAATAGCTTTTTACAATTTGGTGCTAAGAGATTTTTACATAATAATATTCATAATTTTTTTAGGCGGATAACTTTTTAGAGTTGAAGGACGAGCTTTGTTATTTATAAATAAAGCTCTTGAATTTTTATCTAATAATATTTTTTCCATTTATTTTCGCTAACTTATTTTTTTTACTCTTAGTAAAGCTTTCTAAAGAAGCTTTCATGGTCTTGGAACATGGAACTTTAAAAGGAGCTTTCATTATGCTTTCAAATAATATTACATTCAGCAAACTTTCGACCGAGATTTTTTCGGAATTAAAGGCTATCCTTTCTTCCTTCAAATAGCTTTCGCTGTTGCCTTCAATAAAGTTCCAGAGTTTTCACTGAATATTTGTTTTACTAATTTTTTTCATTTTTATTAACTTATTTTTATTTTAATAAAATATTGCAGCTCTAATTAAAAGTACTGTTAATTTAAAAATATTTTAATAAAATTATATTTTAAATAAAAAAATTCCTTAGTTTAAATTAAATTTTAGATTTTTGATATTGTTTAATAAAACTCTCATGAGAGCTTCCTCTCAATATTTATTTAATTCTTTATAAGGGTCTCTAGAATCCTAGGCAAGGTTATCTGAACAGAGTTTCCCATATTTTTTAATTAAAAATCGAATTTTTGTATTTTACTCTGTATACAAATACAATGTTTATGCAATACTTATTTAACATATTGCGTACGATTTCTCATTGATTGCTATTGAATTTTGGTCTGCGCATGCGCAACAATTGAATGTGTGCGCTGATTGTGAATTTATAATACTTGATTGCAAACAAAAGCAGTTTGATGATTATTAATTGATAAGCTTATACAGCGAGTACTAATCACTGACGATAAGGAGCAGAAAGAATAAAGTAAGAGTAATAAGAAAAACAATTAAAATAATCAACTGAAGTCACAAACTGAAGGCAAAATACAGCAAAGCAGATATTATGAGGTAAAATATTGGAAATAAATTTAAAAAAATATATTTTTATTACAATTAAAATTTTGTTGAAAACAAAATTAAACGTAAAAAATTTTATTTTTGTTGTGATTAATATTTAGTTGAAAAAAACATTTAACGTTATAAATAAATTATTATTAATATTTAATAAATAATTTTCTTACTCCTATTGACTTATGCAATTTTCCCTAAAAGCTATTCATATAAACAATTTTTTTCAACGTGAGTTCATTAAGCGCTCATTTGGAATTTTATTATTAACAAAAATATATATATACATAATTATTGTAGCCAATGAATGTATTTTTAACTTTATTTTTTTCGCACTTTACATATCTTGGACTGTATCTATGCAACAAGCTATCCAATCAAAAATGTCGCGTAATTATATGAAATTGATTTCCAATATTTTTTCTTCAATTTGCTGCTGCTGTCATAAAGGAAAAAGTCAGAAATTAAGAAAAAATGAAATAATTTTTTTTCCTCTCTAAATATTAATTTGCTATGATGGATGATCGGTCACAAAGCTCTGCATTATGCGTGTATATAAATACGTATATACGTGCGCGTTGATTTTATTTTAAGCGGTGGTGTGGTGGCGCTGTTGATATACATACATATGTTGCCTATTTGCATAGCTGACCAGCATTGATTTATTATTGTTGTTGTTGTAGTAGTAGTTATTGTTGTTGCCTAAAGTTTACTTTACAGCTGCTTGCTATTACTACTACATTTGACCACAACAATGCGGAAGGCCATCATTGACAGTCAAGAGCCAAGTCAAAAGAGGTAAAACACATATATACGCATACCACTGTGCAAGTTAGTATATATGTATGTATGCATATAAGTCAAATGGTCTCGAAGTTTGACTTCACTTCGCTTGGCAGCGTTTACGCATATTGGCAATGATTAATTGTGCTCGGCCAGCGTTTCATTGTCAAGAAAGTTCATAGCAACGAGAGCCCTCCAACATGTGGAACCGAGCTTGGGTGCTTTTGTGTTGAGCTTGCTTGTCAAGTCATATGGCTGCAAAAGCTACTGTTTTGCCTATTTTTGATAAGGCTTGGAAATTGTTAGGTTTCAGTTGCTGTTGTTGATGCAGTGATTTCAGCATATAACGGATTACGGATTTTGTTTAGTTTTATTTTTAATTATTGTCTTTTGAATATTAATTTTACTTCTTTTTGTAATGTTTACTTTATTTTCTATTCATGTATACATATATATAAATGCATATATACTTTATTTTTAAGTTTTTCCTTTTTATTTATTTTAAATTTAAGTTTTTTTTTTATTAAATTCTTTTTATCTATTTTTTAGTTTTGCAGTTTATTTTATTATTTGTTAATAAATTTTTGTTTTTTGGTTTTGTTTATTGTTGATTTTTGGTTGTATTTTTCATTTTACTATTTTAAGTGGTTAGTGGTTAAAGTTGACGAATTTCTTGGCAATTATTTTTATGATTGATTAACAAGTCATGGGACAATGGTGAAATAACAATTCAAGCGTGTTGCCAGTATAGCAAAAAAAGTTTCGGAATATCAAAATAAATATTTTTACGCGAAAAATTTCAAATAGTCAATCTTAAAAAATTAAAACAAAAAGAAAGTTAAAAAAAAAAAAAAAAAAATTAAAAATAAAAAAATTATTAAACATAATCAAACAAATAAATAAATAATAAAATTAAAGAAATATGAAATTAAAAGTTTAAGTAATAAATAGATCTTTAAAAAGCCTGCAAGAATTAGTGAAAAAAATTATTTTGAATAATTTCTTTGTCGGAGATTCCTCTCATAATTGCTCTCCTAAAAAAAAACAAGTCACCTACGCTGCTTTCGAAATGTTACCGAAGTGTCCGTTGATACGAAATTTGAGGAAAATTATTAAGTCTCAATTTTGAAGAATCAAACTATCGGAAAGGAATCAAAGTTAATACTTAGATTAAAAGTGAAGAGTGCTCAGCCCATTCCACTCTCGGTGGAAGAGAGTGTTAGAAGAACGAATGAAATTACTAACAAAAACATGAACGCACACGAACTCCTCCTCCTTAACTCTTGCATTGAATGCGCTCAAAAATATTGTTCAAATTTATCATACACCAATGTTTTGGGTGAATTTCGAAAATTTAATTTAAACAATTTGCATAAATTAAACACAAACACAAAATCAAATTGACTAAAAAAGAGATGAAAAAGGGAGGTGATTAAATAAAGTAATAAATAAACAAAAAACAATATAAGCACAAGTTGAAGAAATTATATTAAAATAAATTAAAACAAGCCAATGCAGCACTGCAGCAAAACCACAAAAAAAGGAGGGAATTAAATAGCAACGCCGCAGCAGCTGCAGCATCGTACAACAGTCAGCTATAAATTTTAAATTAACAATTTGTTGATAAAATAAGAAAAAAAAAATACTTTTTATAACAGTTAAGCTGAAATTGAACATAAACATTGGTAAAACAATCCAACTGCGAATTAAAAATAACAATTTACTCAGCAGTTTTAGTGTGTGTAAGCGCGAGCACGAGTCACAAAACTGATAAAATAAGAGTGTAACAAAAGTAACAAGAAAAAATAATAATATTAATAACAATCAAGATTTAATAAAACAAAACTGTTAAAAAACAGCAGATTATGTAGAGATAAATTGGCAAGCGAAATGTAATTTATTTTAATTAAATCTTCAAAGTACGTGTATGTAAAAAATGTTGTAGATTAATAAAACTAATTAAACAAAAAACAGTTCAAAGAAAAATTTAAAACAAGCAGAAAAATATATAAAATGAAATACATACAAATAAAACAAATTAAAATAAATAAAAATAAATTAAATAAAACAAAACAAGTTAAAAAAACAAAATAAAATAAAATAAAATAAAATAAAATAAAATAAAATAAAATAAAATAAAATAAAATAAAATAAAATAAAATAAAATAAAATAAAATACGATAAAATAAATAGAGAAAAATAAATTAAAACTAAATTAACAAAATTAAAATGAAATAAAACAAAATTAAAATATAAACAAGAATAAAAAGAATAAAATAAACTAAAACATTTAAATCAAAAAATTTATTTTTGAAAAAATTATTATTATATGAAAAACAGGTCAAATTATAAGACTTGAAATATAATAAAATTAAATGGAAATAAAAATAATGTAATAAAATAAATTGAATAAAAAATAAATAAAAACAAAGTAAACTATAATATAATAAAAATTTAGGAATTTTTGTCTGCATAAAATACATTTTTTTTTTGTTAAATCATTATATTTAATGTAAACGTTTTAGCCGGAAATGACAGTTTTTATTGCTCGTGTAAACTCAAAGTAATTTTAAGTGCCTACATTGATCTGAATAAAAAAAATGTTTAAGTGCCACTTTTATTTATTTAACACACTTGTTAGTGTTGCTTTAAGGTAAACAGCAGCTGGTGCTAGCTAAAAACTATTAAAAGTAAATAAAATAAAATCGTAAAACTCAAGGACGTCAGAAAGAAGAACGATGAGAAACGTGTAAGGAAGAATCGCTTACAGATATGTATATATGTATGTGGAATTTCAGAAAATGAAGCGTAAGATTAAGACAAAAATTCACGAAGATACAGTTGGATGT